AAAGGGGGGTTTTTTTTTCTAAGTTATCTTCAATATTTCTCTGCATTTAACGTGAGACACGAAACACAAAATCTGCGATCACAAAACGAAACACATATGTCGTGGACATCTTATCAAAAGCATAAAATAAGTCAACATATTCTTCCGATATAAACTTCAAGAAATAGGGATGAAACTTTACTCATTTTTGGTTATGATATACAAAAATAACATTATTTGGACGCAACTGCAAGTCCATATATACACCATAGTCCTATAAAATGTATTTGCTATAAATCACTATTTCCCTAAAATCGTTTCTTCCAACTACTCACAAAGTTATTCTTTGTATATCATGTTTTTCACTTTTAAAGGTTTTTGGGATTCACGAACATTATATCCATATCCATTTTTCACGCTGATATAATGGCTCAAGGTAATAAGCATGAACGGGTACGTCAAATAAATCGTGTCAACGGACAAAAAAGTTGCATCCTGCCATTAATTAGTCACTAAAACCATTAATTAATGTCCACTATCTAAAAGAAGAATCAACTACCACCAGGGGTGTCCATTACCAAGACTCATTAAACATCAAATTCATTTTATGTTTGCATTCATATGTGATAAAATCTTATATTTTAAAACAAAAACAAAAAAGAATCTCTAAAAACTCCAATGTATTTTTAAAGGAGGGGGTATATTTTATTAAATTGAAGATTTCGTTCAATTTTTTTTCCTATGTAATAAAACGAAAACAAATTTATAAATATTGTTAGATACTATGGACCTGTAAAATTTTAAGCATATGAATATGATATTGTTTTTTTCCTATTTTTCTCATCTTATATATAAACAAATTTTGTATTGATAAATTATTTTGATTATATATTGACCATGGCAAAATCTATGGGTTCGCAACTCCTGACAGTACTATATAGCTCAATTGGTCTCATAACTCAAAAACAATCCAACAAATCGCAGTATTACGATTTTAACGTCTAATCAGTAATCACAACACAAAATAGTGTGACAATACTTTTTAAAAAAAAAATAATATCACACGCCTTCCTCTTCTATTTATATACACACACACTCGTTATAAACTTAGCACAAACGTCAGGGAGATACACAAAGAATCACAACACATGAGCAAGTTCATCCTTATCCTCGCCACACAAATCCTCCTCCTCGCCGTCGTTGCTTCGACCGAAGACTTCGCAAGAACCATGAACCAAAAACATGTCGGCCTCCACAAAGAAGAGAAACTCACCCATCTCCGGCTCTATTGGCACGACTCCACTGGTGGTGAAAAACCTAGCTCCGTCCAGATCAAACAACCGGTCTTGAACTCATCCTCCTTATTCGGATCGGTCTCCATGATGGATGACGCATTAACGACGGATGTGCTGAGGAATTCGACTGTGGTGGGTCAGGCACAAGGGATTTATGCTGGAGCAGCTCAAGGAGAAATTGACTTCTTGATGGTAATGAACTTTGTTTTCAAGACCGGGAAGTATAACGGGAGTACGATCACGATTCTTGGTCGGAACGCTGTGTTGACGGAGGTTAGGGAAATGCCGGTGGTCGGAGGAAGTGGAATGTTCCGGTTTGCTAGAGGTTATGTGGAGGCAAGGACCAAGTATTTTGATCTCAAGTCCGGCGTAGCTACCGTTGAGTATAACTGTTATGTCTTGCATTAGTGATCATGATTCATAATCATGTTTTTGTTCGTTTTGTAATGTTTATGTATTTTGATTTCATTACTTTTGTAACATTTGCATTTTACGGATGCATGTTGTTGTTTGGTTTTGTTGCATGGTGTGATCGTCGTGGAAGTGTTTTTGTTTTTGGCATGTCCTGTGATATTATGAATAAAAATGTGAAGTAGTTAAATATAGATGGAACATGCCAATTTTGGGTCAAAATAAGTGGGATCTACGTTTAATAAAAGCTCTCTATTCCGTATTAAATGATTTTGGAAATCACCACCTGATTAGTGGTTAAATTATTTGAATTTGGACTACAAAAATAAACAGAATGATTAGCCCAATCACTAGCTAATCAAACCTTATAATATAAATAATTTGTTGTGTAATAAGAATATTGACGAAGAGACAAATTACATGTTCAAGTGGACATCATTCAAAATAGTAAACTTATTATAACCATAGTAAGAAATCACATTTTAATTATTTGCAATATAGCTAGTTTATACACTCTATATAACAATAATCAATAGTGTAAGTAAGGTCCAAATTCAATCTTTTGTTAGGAAAAAAAATTGTAAAAGAAAAAAAAAACTACAAAGCGTGATAGTTCTGTATAAATGGAGGTTTATGATAAAACCTAGAAATCGATCAGTAATCTAATTTAAGTACGAATATACTTCAAAATGTAACGGCAACAAATGATTGAGTTCAGTAGTTTTCTTTGTTTTAGAATAATGTAAAAAAGGTATTAGCTAGTATCCAGTAATAGTATTCAAAGATAAATTTTGAAGCAACTACGAAGCTATACCATAAATTGGTATAATTTACTTCAAGAAAATAATAAAAACCCAACAAATTTCAACTTTGCGATTTTAACTGATGATGCGAAGGGCAAGGAATAACCCCAATCTTTTGCTCATGCCATCTTCCTCCACGCACACACTCGTTTATTCTCATCTCTGTTTTCAGTTTACCCACATGCGATTATGTATCTACTCTAAATTATTTCGCAT